GCCCACATGCCTTAGGATAATCGTACGATAATCGCGGGAAATCCCACGATCGTACGATTATCGTAAGGTGTGTGGAAGCCGTGTGACCTCTACTACTGTAAGGTCGCACGACTTTTATCTTACGAACATGTTCGAAAACCCGCCGAGAATCGTACGATTTTCGGCGGGTGTGTAGCATGTTCGTAAGATAAAAGCCGGACGGGCCGGTGTGCGCAAGCGCACACTGCCCGTTCGGCATTGCGGTCATCGGAAGCCCGCCCCTCAGCGGGGCGGGCTTGCGATCGTCGCAAGTACGATCTGCCTGTCCAAGATAGGCAGATCGTACTTTTTTTAATTACCTTACAACCATCGCAAGACAAAAGTCTTGCGATGGTTGTAAGGTGTGTGCCCAGCCTAAAGGTGCCCATACACCTTACGATTATCGTAAGACAATCGTATGCGATCGACTTTTCGTACGACAATCGTAACGTGTGAATAGAGTGCCCGACCGATAGTACTGAACAATCGTACGACTTTTGACGGTCAAGCATGTTTGAAAACTTTGGTCGATCGTACGATGTTCGCATGGTTGGTGGCGTTTCCGTCCGTCAAAAGTCGTACGATTAACACTGCGCATCTGCAAACGAAAATAATTGCGGTCAATTACCGCAAGTCGTCCAGGTGTTTTTTTTAACTACCGTTAATTGGACCTTGCGATAATCGGGGCAAGATGGGGCCGTTGTACGAAAATCGTACGACGGTTCGATCATCGGACGAAAAGTTTCGTCCAATAATCGTAAGGTGTATGGGCACTTTTAAGGTGCCCATACACCTTACGATTATCGGACGATTTTCGTATGCGATCGACTTTTCGTCCGATAATTGTATGTGTGCATTGCAGGGTCTCACCGACATTACTGTACAATCGTACAACTTTTGACGGTCAAGCATGTTTGAAAACTTTGCTAGATCGTACGATTGTCGTAAGGTTGCTGGCGTTTCCGTCCGTCCAAAAGTCGTACGATCTACACTGCGCCAACGAAAATACGGCAAATCAATAAATGCATTTCGTCCAGGTGCTTTTCGTTAATTACGGCTAAATTAATCTTGCGATCATCAGGGCAGGATGGGGCTGCCGTACGAAAATCGTACGACTATTCGATCGGATGAAAAGTTTCGTCCAATAATCGTAAGGTGTATGGGCACCTTTAGGAAGGTGCTCGTTATTCAACAGGCTGATTAATTTAACTTGTTTATATTCAGAACAAGAGAGCCCCAGGTGTGACGAAGATAATAATCGTTCTTCTCTTTAAAATATCATTGCAAATCACAACAACCTCTTCCACATTCTAACCTTCTTTCAGCTGCCATAAAGTAGGGGGACATTAGTGTATGGGAGGCAAAGCATAACCTCCTAAATGTCAGAACATCCTAAACCCAAAAAAACACCTCTAAGTACAGGTTACATTTAAGGGTCTACCAACACTAGAATGCACAGACAAGGCAAATGTCTTTGTTTACAATGAAGTCAGTTCACACCACTTGTGTATGCTGATGCATCCTACATGCAGTACGTTTTTTTGACCCTGGCATGTTGCAGCACACTGCAGTGAATAGAACTGTGACTTTATGATGTTACCAAAAAAAGTTACATTGTGATGAACGCATCAGCAAGGCTCCCAACACAACACACGCAAGCGGCTGCTCCACTGCTGCTTGTTTATTCTCTGCACTGGTGGGTGGCAAAGGTGTTGAAGGGTGGGTGTGGTCTATATTTAATTTGAGGGGTTATGTGGGCTTCAACAGCTACAGAGCTGCATCATAGTGCACAATTAAAAGGACAAGTTCACAGATGGAAAAAGAAAACAAAAATCATATCCGCCCTTTAATACTGTAAACCAAGGATGTTAAAACTGCGGCCCTCCAGCTGTGGTGGAACTACGAATCCCATGAGGCTTTGCAAGACTCTCCCAGCCACAGGCATGACTACCAGAGAGATGCTTCATGGGATTTGTAGTTTCACCACAGTTGGAGGGCCGGAGTTTGGACATCCCTGCTGTAAACCAACCTTTCTCAATCTTTTTAAAGTGGAGGAACCCTTGACATAGTTTTTCCGTCTCAGGGAATCCTTTGCGAAAATTTACATTTACAGCTCAGGCACATTAGCGTCATGAGTAAGATACAGGCGTGCACGCCGCACAGACATGTTTGCCCCGAGTGAATGAGGCCTAAAGCTGTTTGTTTACCAGCATAACTTCAAAGTACACTAAAACCTTTATAAACAAAATAAAGTTACTCATACCTGTTTTTAATTGTTACATTTTAAAACACAGGTCCTCTTTAACATAGAATACTTACCAATTTATTCAAGCCATAAAGATACTGCAAGTATTTACCGCAGAGATAATGAAAGGATATTTAAAAATGTGTCCCTACACAATCATATTAGTCAGTGCATGCTCCCTTTCAGGATAATAGAATCCTTTCTATGAAGAGAAATGATATAACCTGTTCTAAGGCTCTGTAGGCAATGTTAAAGCAGTAATACAAAGATCAGCTTATACATGTTATAGTCAATACATCACACGTACAGAGGAAGCAATCTATATTTTGAATTACAATCTGCTTCTCTGATGGCAGATGTTTCACCCAGGCGTTACGCACAAAGAAAATGCTTTTGGGGCAAAAAGTGACTCTTTCATATAAGGAAGCAAATAAAAAGATTGACTTGTGTCTGAAGGGCGGTGTTACGACGATGTGGAGTCAGCTTAAAGTCTTATTAGGGGCAGAGGTTTCAGCATGTTTCTGTAAATGAAAAGTAATCAACCTTGCTATTCGACAAAGCTAATTTCAAGAAAAACCTTCTTTATAAATGGTTTGATGGGAAAAAGCTCCACTGACTGGGTGAAAAGGATTTCACGGGGCTACAATGATAAAAACTGGAGTACAGAGAAACTTACTGCTGCAATCAGACTCTAAATTATTCTAACCACTATTTATATCTAAACTGGCCGGATACTATTAGGTGAATATAAAAAGCAAAAGGAACATACCATTATTTCCCAAAGTGCTTCAGGAGCCCCTGACCATGGCTAGAGTTCTCAATATGTAAATTTCAACTTCCAGACACAACGCTGGCCAGGGGAGGACTGGGAATCTATTGCTTGGCAGGCAAACAAAACCAGCTATGCCTTTTAGGTATAATGTGCCATTGAGCTGCATTGATTGGCGGACAAGGTGAAAGGTGGCTGTTCCGTAAGGACTTGGTTTATCGTTGGCACCTTTATAAATTTTTCAGCATAGCTTCCTGTGCAGCTCTTGGCATTTGGTCACAAGACTTCCGTCTGCCAGAAGCGGTTATAGAAGGTCTAAATAGGGAGCAGATGTTGAAATAATGCCCAGAATGTAAGTGAAAAGGGTCCTGATCGAGGTCTAAGTGAAGTATTTCCACTTGGGCTAGCAGCCCTGCACATCTTATTAGTACTGGTCCCGGGGACAAAAATATATACCTGGCACTGACTAACAAGTAAAGAAGCATAACTTACTGGGGAAGTACAGAGACTCCCAATGAAGGGCTCAAAGACAATACATTAATATTAAGCTCTGGGGTTTAACAGGGAGCTCACAAAGATACATTAAATTGTCAGTCCAACAAAGTAATATTTTAGTTTCTGCCTCTAGGAGTCATGCCTGTGGATGTCATAGTCATGCAATGCCTAATGGGATTAGTTGCACCAAAGCTGGAGAGCTAGAGTTTGCCTACCACTGCCCTAAAGCATTACAACTTGCCTCAATATTCACATGATGGTACATTACCTCTGCCATGCAGAACGGTTCCTCTTACTTTCACCCAAAAAGTTTCACAGAAGGGTCAAAATCAAAGTCCATTTAAGAAAAATGGTGGCAAACACCTTTAAAGTGACACTAAACCCAGGCGTTAAATCTTAAAAATACATTCAAGTACCTTAACTATTAACAAAAATGTATCTTATTTGTGTATCACTCGGCTGTAGATCCTCAAATCATCTCTGAATTGGTGCTGATACTGTCCTTCCTTCTGGAGGGTGACTACTTTTGTTCCCCATGGTCCCTGTGTTTGTTGTAAAGTAGCCACCACTCCAAGTTCACTCCCGTGATGGACAATCTCACAATTTACTAATTTGTACTGAGTTTGCAGTGTATCAGGAGTATATCAATTCTTATAAGGGTCTTCAGATTGCTGGAGGTTCAGTCACCCTAAAGGTCTGTGGACAACTTTAGTCTTAATTTCACCAATCAGAACGGTTTTAGTAAAAATATTGTCCATTAAAGTGCTTTAATCATCTGTTGTTTCTATGTAACAAGCCTTTTTGCTAATACTCAAAGTTATAAAGCTGCTTTTACTCTGAAGATTAAGACTCCCAATTTGGGATTCCCTTGCCTCAACCTACCTAATATCTGTGTGCTATCTCGTTGCATGTCCCACCTAACCGTTCATATAATAAATGTCTAGACCTGCAGATAGATTGTGTACCAGAGCAGCTGCACATGGAGCCACGAATGTTGGAGATTATAGGCTGGTAGGTAGTAGTGATGACATTCAGAGTCCAATGAGTAGACACTAGGCAGAGACAAGGTACTGGAAAGTGTACAGTTCTATTGATGAATAGTGGTGACTCACTCCCACAAGGAAAATAGAATAATTTTCTCAGATAAGGTCATTCTATGGGTTTAACACACATAACACAACCTTCCATGTACAATAAGTTTAGCCCAACTTCAGTCCGGCTTATAGAATGCTATTGAACACTTCCTGCAAGGCTGCTGAAGCATCAAATAGATTAGATGGCCTAATGTGCTTTATAAGCCACTGGTTAGAGATGACTAAAGGATGTACCTCTTTCTGCAATGTGATTATGTCATTTAGGGAAGCTATATTTCTACTCAAACAGCAGATGATGAGTTTTAGTTGTGAAAGTTTTTCAGTTGTTTTGAAAAATCAACCTTGAATCACACAAGTACAAAAAAAGAACAATGTTTTATTGGATTTCTTCAGTATAGCTGCACGTTGTGTATTTTCTACAGTATTGCAGAGAGCTGTAAGAACACAGCCAGACACAGAGATCACCTCCCCAGACACACACTGAGGCTCAGCATTCGGCTTTTGTGCGGGAGATAACTTCATTGACGAAGCCATTATTCCTGGCTAGAACATCAGCCTTCAGCTGATTCAGTCTGCTTTTTATTTCCTGCTCAGACATTTCAGTAAGTGGAAGAGCTTTCACTTTGGTGAGAAAATCCTGAATTATCTTCTCCCCTTCCTGAAAGAAAACAAGAAAAAGGTTCTTATAGCAATCATTTCTGTTTCTTTGTTACACTGGGTGAAACATTCACGAGAAGTGCAGGCCCAGCGCTGGAAATATAAAATATGACATTTCGGCTGATCATCCAAAGGCAAACAGTATTGCTCCCTCCCCGCATCTCTAGCTCTTTCGGGACAGTAAGGAACTGGACACACAGGAAGATTTCCCATCCCAATGGGAGCAGTCTAAAGCCCATGTCTAAAGTATGGAGGGTAGAAAAAGATTAAAGTAGTGTACATAAGATAGAGTCAGCATTACATGAGTGCTAGTGTTCACTCATTTGAGAATGACAAGATATCTCACCACCTTTAGTTCTTAGGGAGGTATATGCCCACTTGTGGCCACCCTTATAATTTATGCTTAAAGGAGAACTATGAGGTGAGTGATTTTCACTCAACCGCATAGTTCGAGCTGACGTGTGATAATGAAACTGTCACGCGTCGGCTCAATAGATCGGGACGTGAGCGAACACAACGCCGCTCGCTCACTTCTCGATCCTGTCCCTGCAGAGAGCCGTGACCGTCACTCACGGCTCCCTGCAGGGATTTCCCCCCTCCCCGCTCCAATCCTCCAACGCTGAGTGGAGGAACGGATGGGGAGGGGGTGGGTACAGCTGGCTCTACCTCTAGATTGACAGCTGGCTCTGCCTATCATGCAATGGCCTGGGTGGATCTTAACAGTAATGTCGGGATCCGTCCCGGCTGCGTCGGTCTCAGTATACCGCTCGCAGTATACTGAGCTTTGGGTCATGGGAGGACGCTAGTTTATGTAGAAATCCTCAGATCGCTTTTGTACAATTTTGCCAGTTGTGTGTCACTGGAAAATACAAGATTCATTACCCTGAGATGTCCTTGTTCCAGTAAGAGGTGTAAAAGTCACCCCATCTGACATATAGACTTTATGCTTAGGAAGATCAACAAACCTTTATGAGTGCTATGTGACATGAGAAGAATCTTTATATAGGTAGATTTTAGTGTCCTAGATAAGTGCATTTCAAGAGTGTGCCCATCAAGACTGAAGTGAATTTGTACTTTGTCCATTATCTGTCTTTGCTTCTGGCAGTTAAACTGATCAGCAGATGAATACACGTAAGGCAAAGTATGTGTTGCTGGGGAGGGGAGAAATTAAGTGAACCTGTTGCTTTGCCCTGCATATGATCTAATGACAGGGAAATTGGACTGCAAGCGTAGGTATTGTTACATTGAGACAAACTAACAACTATTTTATGACAATTTGACAAGTAGTGATAAGTTCAGGCTCCACAGTAATGCACTATAGACACTTTGCCTTCTTACTCTTTACCATTGAGCTATGGCTATCTTATAATTATTACCAGATGGGTTTTTTTTTTTCAAGCTTTCCAGCCTTTGATTGTTGCACTACACAAGTCATACATGGATTTCAGTATCTGTATATATTGCTACTTATATTGATTTGAATAGTGTGGTATTGCTTTGCAGTGGATATGTGAAGAAAACAAAAACAAAAAAAGAAGACAAACTTATGTTTTTTGAATCAGCTCAAGCCTCCTCCCGTTAAATCTGCATTCCTGGAAGGACCTCAGTGCACAGCAAAGGTTCCTGCTGCACCTTGTCGATCCAAGATGCTAAAACACCGGCAGAGACCGGGATCTTCTCCAAATTTCACTGTATTTTAATTTGGCATAAAAAACAGCAAAATAGCTTATGTGTTTCAGCCCAAACCCTGGGCCTTAGTCTTAGGTCAATGACTAAGGCTCAGGGTCTGGGCTGAAACACACAAGCTATTTTACTGTTTTTATGCCAAATTAAAATAAAGTGATATTTAGAGAAGATTCCTGTCCTTGTGTTGGTATTTTAGCATTAAAAAAAAAAAAGAAAAGAAAAAAAAAATGATTTTAAGATTGTTTGCAGTAAGATATATTTATACATGAAAGTCAGTAGTATAGTTTTGGTATTAATTGTGGTTAAGTGAATTGGAATGGCACACTCCAGACTGGGGCTAAACCAGGAGAGACGTTTGCATTTTGTTATACAGGTCTGGAGTGTAATAATGATAAATATAATGGTTATATAAAAGATAGGTGTGTGTCACTTTTTTTCACTGAAAGAAGACAGACTCTTTAGCAAGCTCACGGTAAGAGACCACTAATAGGGATGATGATGATATATTTAAAGACAAAATACAATTTAAAAAAAATGGCAAACCTCTTTTTCTTTGCAGCGTCTCTTGCAGGCAGGTTCATCCTCAGATTCTGCCGAAGCCCCAACAAACTGGAATTCCTCCAACTCTAATGCTTTTGCTTTGGCATTTTCAATCACATGCTTCGGAAAGTTAGCCAGCTCAGCTACGTGTATGCCAAAGCTCTGATCACAGACGCCTGTAACATAATAAACAAAGTTATACTGTGCAGTCCATTGTGTTTTGTATCCATGTTTTTGTTTTTTTACAATTTAAATTTTAATACGTGACAAAGGAATTCTCAGAGCATTATGGGTTACATAGAGACAGCATAGCAGATTTACAGCTCCCTTTCTTTGATAAAAAGCTCACGCACTGTTTCAAAATCCATTGAATCCCCTATCTACAATGTGGATGGGGAATCTGCGCTGCCAGCTATTGTGTTCGCTTCAGTGGCTGCTAAATACCCAGCCAGTGCCTGCGTCTAACTGGATGCAGGAGCTGTCCAGCCGAAAATGTCATACTGGCTCCTGTCACTTCTGACCACCAATTATAAAAATTCTGGTTACCCGTCTGTCATACTGGCCTTCTATATTCCACATTTTCTGAGTAACTGACTCTGGCCAAGTGTTCATATAAGGACTTCTAATTTTCTCTGACACTGCAGATTTTAATACTTGTTCCAAATCATTATTGAAGCCAGAGTCATCATAACAGCCAAGCAATTAACATTTTAGTAATCCTCCCATGGCAGGTTTACTTCAAGGTTTATAGGCAGACAACTAAATGATTAGGGCATGTGCTCTTTAGTAAGTATTTTATATTATTCTTTACCATATAACTAGGAAAGCAAAATGTGTTGAAAAGAAAAAACTAAAAATATATGTGTACGCTATCTCACTACTGAGGTTAAGATGGCTATAAAGAAAATTCTATAAACTACACTGCATCTGATTATACCATGTGCCATAGGCTGTGCTATAATCCAGTGACATTTAATTACATGGTCAGCTAAACAGAGCTAGAACAATAAATCATCAAAACCAAATCGCCAGAATTACAGTAGACCTGAGACCTGTCCTCATAAAAAGATTTCCCACAAGTACTTGCTATCATCCCTCTGTTCAGGACTGCAGGTTCGCGTGCCTGCAGCAAAGCAGTGAATCAGCTGTAGAGCTACCATATTATGCTTCCATGGCCAGTTCTAGGAGAAGTTGCATGCTAGTCACACAGTGCTGTATCTCCAGTACAACTGTAACAGTAGTAAGAGTACAAAAAAACCTATTTTCTTACTCATCCATTGATGGACACAGGAATTCCTAAACCCTCGGGACATGTAATGCAGTACAAATGAGACATGTACAACACAGTAAACAATTGCCAACAGGCCCAACTTTAACAAGAGAAATTGGGGACTGCCTGCAAGAGATGCCTGAAGTACCTTATACCCAAAGCTTCCATCAGATGAAGAACAATGTCTTCCTGGTACCAGAATACAAATCTGGGAAACAGTTGCCTAATGTTTAAAAGCCCAACAGGCACTCATGCTGAACCCAATCCTTGAGACTACTGTAAGCTTGAATGATTGCCTGTTTAAGCCACTTAGAAATTGTAGTCTTTCTTAATGAAGAAGTGGCTGAAAGATTTGAACAGTGGGAAACACATCCAGACAATGGGGGGAATTTCCGTTTGCTGAACGGGAGCTGGGCAGACGGATGGGACAACAATATCCTGATTAAGGTGAACAGCATAAACTACCTTAAGCAAGAAGAAAGTCCTGGGCCCCATCTTGTCCCTATGAAAGATCAAAAAGTTGCCAGAGGGGAGGCAGGGAAAGCCTGCAGCAGAGGTGTATAGAAGTATAAAGAAAAAGGTGGATAGCTGAAGAAAGCATGTCCATCCTGCTACTACCAGGCATGCTGGTAGTAGGAGGCATTATACTCTGGGCTGGCTTACAGTCTTTTTGAATGCCGAAAGTGCAATCCTAATGTAGGTGGCAACATAACCAGAAGGTTTAAGGTTTCCTGTGTCCCTGCCAATGCTTAGATCTCTTTTCCATGACATCTTAATTTTAAGAAGTGTTTTCCGTTCCCCAAGTGCAGTGAATAATTTTGATGAATAAAAATGTTCATGTGGTTTTGGGTGTATAGAAGTCACAGTAAGGGTATATTTCCCTACTTGTGATCAAAGTGGCTTTTAGATGCATTTTACATGTGTTATTAATCCATATGAAGAATGTGCTTTGCTGAAAATGCACCAAAATCTCGTCATGCACAGCATTAAAAACCGATTTATGTATTTGAGTTTAGCGTGAGGGTATAAAGTGCTGACACCTTGTATTAAAATGTAAAGGTATCCATAAGACAGCAGATGACTTCAACCTCGTTTATCCGTTTTAGACAGGACTGTGAGTGATCCCAGATGTTGCTAGTCTCTTGCTGTTGGAGGGGAGGCATGCAAAACCTGTATTCATCTCCATTGCTACTCCCCATCAAAAGCCACTCCTAACACAATCTGTAAAGTAATCTAAAGGGGAAAACAAATTCTACATAAATAAGTATGATAATTTAAAGCCAAAAATTCAGATTCTCACAAACTTGGGCATAACTGTTCCTATTTAAAATGGAGTCTGGATATTTGACACAAACAATGCAAGCTCGTTTGTAAGCTACTGCAGTCCTGAGAAAACTCAATTACCAGAAGGTCTTAAACAAACAGATCAATGAACACTGCACCAGCATGTCTTTACCGTAATGCCGCCAGACACCCCTAAAGCAAACAGCCCGATTGTATTGATCTTATAAAATGTCATTTTGAAGTTCAGTATTACTGATACATTCATCTTCAGCTCAAAATATGGCAGAAGATTTTCAAAACCAACATAAAAACATAAATTCCTAAACTCTGGGATGATTAGAGGGTCACCCTCTAGAGCAAAATCTAGAGACACCTCTGGTCAATTAAATCATGATTAACAAATACAGTCAAGTTTAAAGAAAATTGCCTTTTCCAGACGGCCAATCCCTTGGTCAGAAAAATGTCTAAGGGAGGAGAAAGAGTCACTCAGAATAAACGCAGACACGGAAGTCACATATGGTTTAGATTCTGCGCTACTGCTGGAGATGGAGCACAGGAAATGTAAGAATCAGTGAGTGCCCTATCAAGAGAACATGTCAATTCGCATATTGACTTCAGAGCTCCACTTGGTAAATATGAAGTAGTATATTCAATATTTTAAACAGGTAAAAAAGCATAGCCAGACCATCACCCCCAAATCACTCCTAAATGAATCCACCTGTTTTTTTTTTAGTTTGATTTGCACCAGAATAAGGCAGGCTTTAACACCTTTCCTGTGCATAAACTCACTGTATCTGCCTTGCAATGTATTCTGAATGGTACTCCAATGGGCAAATACAGTGCAAACAGACCAGCCCCAAAGTGCATCACTTGCAAATCAGTACTGTAAGTCTGTTTTATTGATATGTTAAGGGTTCGTTGAGGGTCATTTAGTGACTGGGTTGCAATAATCACAATGTGTGTCAAAAAGGTGCCTAAACATGTTTAGCCAGAACTTAAAAGCTTTGCCACCGCACCTATTTTTTCAATCACTTCTCAATGAAGGTGCTGTACATTTACAGCTATGACTGATCCTCAGATATAGACAACAATCTAAGAAGCAAGAGCAAGGGACAATAGACATTCTTTCTTGCTCACCTTTCTTGACTCTGTAAAGCATGGTCAGCGTGTCATCTGTTGTAAGCGCCGTGACGTGTAGATTGTTCACAGTTGGCACCTGATCGGCCAGAGCGGTTAGTTCATGGAAGTGAGTAGCAAATAAACAAAATGCTCGGATTTTAGTAGAGATGTACTCTGAGATTGCCCAGGCCAGGCCAAAACCGTCATAGGTGGAGGTGCCTCTGCCCAGCTCGTCAATGATGATCAGAGAGTTCTCGGTTGCTGACCTGTAGAATAAATTATAAAGACAGCTCTCAGCTTCTCTGTATATAGAAAAGGAGATAGATCAGAGAGAACATAGGGACCCCTAAAGATAGTGTGACTAGTTTTCCCCTCATGGTCAATGATCTTGTTTTTTTTTTTCATTTTTAATAAGGACTGGTCGGTTTTCCTTTGACAAAACACACAGAGGTTTCATTAAATATATGTAAAACGAGAGGAACATTTTCATTTTATTGGCCTCACCTATAAATGACAAAACCCTCATTTGGCGTCATGAACCGAAATCAACAGCCCTGACACACCCAGTTCCATTTGGCACAGCATAACCAGCGGGTTTGTACTTTTAAATGGTATGCAGGAAGTGTGTTGCAGCTTATGCCATAAGCCTAAAGTGCATTTCCACTTTTACAGCCAAATTGGGATAACATTTATTTTACATTTGTTACATGCTTCTCATTCACATATAACTAAACTGTTGTTTGCACAAAACATGCTCAGTTCTGAAAGAAAAGTTGTTATCTTTACTGAGTTTCCCTTTGAAATGTAAGAGGTAATGTTAACATAATCAACCCTTTCTGTACTGAAATAGCAGATCTCATTATCAGTTGTAAACTAGATCTCAACACTGCCTGTCCTAAACAAAGTGTTATAGATCTAGAAGCATTGAATAGTAATGTCTGGGGTGCTCAGTGTATCCCTAGTTTATCTATAGGGACAGTCAGAGTTTGCGGTGACTTAGATTGAGAGAGAAGCTTGCAAAGGCCTGCTACACAGAGACATCTAAAAAGGTAAGACATTTTTTTGTATTACTTTCACATATGCTGTACAAGAACAAACATATAGTGGTGTTTTCTTACTTTAACAGCAAAAGAGCAAATACACTTTAAAGTCAAGACTACAAGCATCCCAATTAGTATATCCTCATGGAATGTAGAACATGAATGTTTTGCAACCAGTGAAATGCAAATTTTAAATACATATATGGAAACTTATCTGTCAATTGATTTGAAATTCTTTGGAGCTTGTGCTCCAGCCCGCCTGCTTGACAGCACAGCAAAATCTTTGGCCCCGTTCACACCGTGGCGGCATTGTTTTTTGCGCGTTTGTACGCATGGGTTCAGCGTGCGGGGTTTCGCACGTTTGCCACATTTTTACGTGCATGAAAATGCGCGCACATGCATGACCGGCAGCTACCCCATCTAATGACTGGCAAGCTGCAATATGACATACTTATTTACGGGTTTAGGTGCCCTTTAAGGATGCCCTCCTTTCTGTACAAAGGAAGATGAAATACTCTCTCCTGGTTGGCCTCACATCACCTCTCTACAATTGTCTTTTAGACAATTCGGCTCTGTGGCACCCCTAGAATGGAGGTGTGCTGTATCCTTCAATTGTAAGCCCTAATTGAAGAGAATCCTCTTGGCAGCATTCATACTTTTGATTGACCGAAAGCTGCAGACAGGAGCTGACAACAGGAAAGTGAGACAGGGTAAAGCTAAACACATCATTAAAAACAAAATCTAATGCTGGATAGAGATTTTCAGCGTTGTCAGCAGAGTGACTGGACCGGGAAGATCTCCTCTTATTCAAAGACGTATTTAACATTTAGCTTCAGCAGTGAGTGTCTGCTATGACAGCACCAAGTACTCTGCACTGTATTCTCCCTACACTCTCTAATTAGGTTTCATCTTTAACCTGGAAGATCTGTTCTGAACAATACGCAAGGGAAACGCTACAGCTCTGAGTTGCTGGGGGGAAGGAGAAAGTGGGTTTATATCAAATTCAGATCAACTATAATGACCTGTACTTCTGGTGTGCATCCAGGCTTTTGTTACGTTGGTTTCCCCCCTGCAATATAAATCATTGCAGAGACTTCCATTCTCCGAGGGTTCAATAGTTTATCTTGGGTGCCTCTGCTCTACTTACAGATGCATCCAAACTCTGTGTGACCTTGTGCAGTCTAAATGCATGCTTCATCCAACAACACTGCATGCAATATTATACTGTCAGAGCTGCAGATGGTCACATATCAGTCATTCCCATTCTACCCTTTCTTTGCTTCCAACTGTAAGCATGACTCAAAACTGCAACTGGTATGTGCAGAAGGGTGGTACAGTGCCCTATAGTGACCAATCATATTTTGCCTTTCTGTGATCTGAAAAATCATTAACACAAGATGTACTACTATGGGTTACTGCACATCAGCATTGCTCTTCTTAAAAAGGTACAAAAATATTCTGAGTATTAGATTTCATCAGAGGCAGATTTTTTCAGGGAACTTCATCCTCTCTATGTACCTGTCTACTGGTATTAATGTATTAGTCATCTGTAATCACAAAACTACGGGACATACGGCCAAACATCTGCCACTGCTATTTCATGAGAAGGCTTTATTTAATAACGGTAGGTGCAATCTACTTGAAGTATATGAAGCACAATCAGTAATGCCAGACAAAATAGAATGAAATGTTCCAAATCCTTCTCTCAAGTCATTAAGGGGAACTTCACCCATCTTTGAAATTACAATAAACACACCTTTAGAAATGTTTAGTACTTACAATCCACAAACAGATACTTCTAGATAATTGCCAGCTTTGTATTCTTTGCATACTTATTTTTCTTTTCCTCCCCATTCTGCTCACAGTGGCCATTTTTACTAAGGGCAGATTACTATATATCTCCCTTTACTTTCTGGAACACTCACACACACTCATAAGACCCAGAGACACAATACCTGAGGATTGAAGCAGTCTCCAACATCTCAGCCATGAAGGTCGACACTCCTTTGAGCTGACTGTCCCCAGCTCCAACTCGAGCAAGAATGCAATCCACTATGCTCACCTCCGCAAAGTCGCATGGTACAAAGGAGCCAATCTGGGCCATGAGGACTATTACTCCAGTCTGGCGAATATAGGTGGATTTTCCACCCATATTAGGACCTAAGAGTGAAGCAGAGCAGAAAGACATTTGAATTTTAATTAAACACAAACATTTGGCTAAACCCCTTTTTTTAATTGAAAGACAAAGCACATTACATGTACTTTGAATGTAATTTTTTATAGTCCTTAACATAAGAGAAAATATATGCAAATTCAAAAAAGGTACTGTGCAAAAGTTTTAGGGACTAGTAAAAAAAAAAAAGCTATAACGTGACAATGCTTTCAAACATAATGCGATGAATAGTTTATATTAAATAACAGCCTACAAAGTGCATAGACAAAAAAATAATAATTAATATATGGCGTGTCCATCCTTTGCCTTTAAAACGCTATCAATTCTCCTAGGTACACTTGCACACAGATGTTTTTTAAGGAACTTAGCAGATAGGTTTTTTTCAAACATCAAGAAGAACTAACCACAGTTGTGTGGATTTAGGCTGTCTGTTTCTTTTTCGTCATGTAATCCCAGTTTGACTTGACATTCAGAAGATAGCTCTTTATGACTTTGGCTGTATGTTTGGCAGTCTTTTTCCTGCTGCAGAATACATTTGGGACAGATCAGATGCCTCCTTGATGGTACTGCATGATGGATAAGTTATTCGGTATTCAACCAGAAAAAGAAAATCCCCTGTGCACTTACTGTTCTGCTGATCTGCAGCATGTATTATCCTGAAAACGATCATGTGTCTATTTGTCTTAATTTGCTTTCGATTTCTGCATTTCAATATTAATATGAAGTCAATACAGAGTTTATGTTATGATACGGTATAGTATGGGATATGGCATTCGTTAGACCTATTTTTAATAGTAACTCTCAAGCATCCAGATTTATCAAGAATCTACCAATCCCCATGGATGCCGGATAACAGGGAGTTTACTGTACAAGTATCTGCCTGTACTTTTCAGGATTGTGGAGACCAATAATTCCATCATGCTTCGCTGTTGATTGCAGGCACCCATCCTTGTACAACTCTGCAAGTCTTCGCCAAACAAACTGCCTTTTGTTACAGCCAAATATTTTAGACTCATCAGTCCTGAGCAGCTGCTGCCATTTTTCTGCACACCTGTTCATGTGTTTTCGTGCATAGGTGAGTAGTTTGGCCTTATTCCCACGTTTGAGGTATGATTTTTTTTGGCCACAAGTCTTCTATAAAGACCACTTCTGACCACACTTCTCCAGAGTGGAAATGGGTGAACCAAGGCCCCAATGGTTTCTGCCAAGTATGAACTGAAGGTATCCCATGACATCTTTTGATTGTAAAAGAACGTCAGCACGATGTGTCTTTCATCTGGTGTACTAAGTTTCCTTGGTCAACCACTGTATTTTCAGTTCTCAGTGTTGCCAGTTTTTTTTTTGTACAGAAGAGCACGGGCAGCACAGCTTTCTTAAAATGTTTGCCTGCAAGACTGTTGATTCAGTAAAGCTGCCCATACACCTTGCGATCATCGGACGAAACGTTTTGTCCGATGATCGAACCGTCGTACGATTTTCACACGGCGGCCCCATCCTGCCACGATTATCGCAAGGTTCAATCAGCAGTAATTAAAAGAAAGCACCTGGACGAATTGCGGTAATCGCACGTATTTCGCACAAATTTTGACGTACGGAAACGCCACCAACCTTGCGAAAATCGTACGATCGACCAAAGTTTTCTAACCTGCTGGTTAGTCAAGTCGTTCGATTGTACAGTATTTGCGGTTGTACACTGTCCATCAACCTTACGGACCTTATCGGACGAAAACGCGATTGCATACGAAAATCGGCCGAGATTCGAAAGGTGTATCTTAGAAATTATATATAAAACATTTATACAGTATTGGGAGATACAGAAAATTTCACACTCCTTGTTCACAGCTCTCACTTGCAAAAACAACTCCATTCACCATTTAGAAGAAAAAGTCTGAATGACTCATACGGTTCATAGAACGCTCTTCAGTAGGGTCAGCCAAAACAGAAGAGCGGTAAAAAAGAATACCAAACAAGTTATGCTGACAGATTCGAACTGGCTTATCTTCAGAGTTCATTAATTATAACACCTTGTATAACCATAATAATCTACATAGAAATCAATAAGCTCTGTTCCGAGTGCTGGGTCATATCTGTTGCCTGAATGGTAAATACACAACGGATGCAGCAAAATCACCTGCTGTGCAGCTTCCCATAAAGTATATCTAAAGTCAAAAAGTAGATTTATGGTTTACACCTCTGTCCTTTTATTTCCCCATCAGGGAAATGTCCTCTCACTGGGCCAGGCCCAGAGACACAATAGAAACTGGAGAGGAAGTCCCTTCTTAACCCCATAAGGACCCTTTCGCTGCCAAGGCCTTTTTTTTTCTTTGTTTTTTGCACACGATATAATCCACATTTTAGGCCTGAAAATTACTTCAAACCCCCAAAACATTATATATTTTCTGAAAGCCAAGACACTGTAGAATAAAATGGTGGCAGTTGCAAACTTTTATGTTGCACGATATTGGCGCAACCTTTTAGCAAACCCAAAAATGTAGTGAAAAATACACTTGGGTTAATTTTAGTGCCCCAAAACACAATAAAATACCCTTTTTTTGTAAAAAATAAATGACATTACAACAAGTAAATATATACTCAACATGCTTTGGTAAAAAATGAGGTGCGTCCGCAAAACAGTGACCCATTTCAGTATCCGAAAAAGTCCATCGACGACCCTTTAAAAGCCCTTACACGTCACGTAAATATTGGCACTACAATTATTGCACTGGCGTGCACGGTGATACCCAACATGTGTAACACGATTTATGTTTTTGTAAATAGGCGCAACCTATATTATTTCTTAAAACTTTTTTTTTTACTTTAATTGCTCTTACATAGGGGGGCTTACGAGCTCCCCATGTGATAGCATATTGGTGGCGATACTGGTGGTCTAAAAGACCCCTAGTGTCAGCTTTCCACTTTAAATAAGCTACTGAAGTGCAGATTGCACTTCAGTAGCTTATTGCTGGGCTCAAGGTGCTAAGCAATGATAGCTATGGGACTGGAAGCGATGTAATACGCATTGTTCCCGGTTCCATAGAGTGGGGAGGAGAACGGTGAATGCCGGCACCCAACATGGAGGGAAACACGGCAGGGGTGTCGAGAAGGGGCTATCGTGCACTTTTAAAGGACCACAGAAGCGGTCTGGCGAAAGCTGAGCCGCCGGAATTGCTTCTATTGTAAAGACGGCAGCCGGCTTTACAAAGGTAAACAGAGGCTCCGGGAGTCTATTTACAGGGTTGTGCTGCCAATGATGTTCTATGTACGTCAGTGGTCGCAATGGAGTTAAAGAGGTGTTAGAAACAGGTGTACCCATTGGATAATTTCCGCTCACCCCCAATTCTGGTGACAACTGTAAAATCTTGGATTCTGATCATTTTCAGTCCTAGTCACCAGGACAGTGTGAATCTCCCCCAGATTGAAACCTGACAGATCTAATCCTTGCCTACTCTATCCAAAACAAAAACAATTTTGGCTTCAGACATGCCAAGTTTCTAATAGTAGCAACTAGCAACGGAGGAAACTTTTAGAATTCAGCATACATCTCCGACTGACACAAATCCTTAGTCTGACTAAAAGCCGAGCGCAATGTGGATTAAACCAGCTTCCCAGACACAACAGGGACCAGTTGTCAGAATAACCTGAAATAAAATTTCCATTTTATTAAATCAGTGACACCAGGAAGAGGGCCTCATCTCTCTGATTATTGTAATGCCTCTAATGCATCAAACCAGCTATTCCTAAAGTCAAGTCACCCAGAATGTGTAGATCTATTTCCAATTGCTCATTTTCTACAGCATGCAAAAGGTAGAATCAAATGAAAAAAATACCAAAACAATATTCTTCCCTTAACGCAGATGTGGGTGGAGGAAATTATTTAAACAAAATAAACCAAATGTGTTTTAAATGATCTGACAGAGATTAAAAAAAAATGTATAAGTTGGGTACCTCTAGGGCAGTGGTTCTCAACTCATGGGTCGCGACCCAAAAGTGGGTCGCGACACCTTCTAGGTACTCTGGCTTACTAAAGGATTACTCCAGTCCGAGTAAAAACTAGAAACTGTGCATACTAACATCAAGTCATGTGCTCTTCGATAGGAAGCTGCAGCAGTGGCTGAAGGGGATACAATTTGAAAAATGGCTCCCTGTGCTGAAAGTAGGTTTCTAAATGCTAATAGGCGTTGATGTGTCACAGCTAGATAAAACCACATTGGGGGGATTTATCAAAACTGGAGCAGACAAAATCTGGATCAGTTGTGCATGGTAACCAATCAGCATCCACCTTTCATTTTCAAAGCTCAACTGAACAAACTGAAGAGAGAAGCTGATTGGTTGCCCTGGGCAACTGCTGCTCTTTTTGTCTGCTTCAGTTTTGATAAATTCCCCTCATTGTGTATACTGACTAGTTGTGAGGAACCCAAAGAAGCTAACAAAAACTACTAGCACGTCATTATCTTAAAAAAAAAAAAACAATCCTAAAAATTGTACACATTACTTTTTGTGCTTCCACAGTGGCCAGCGAAAAATCATTACATTTGCCTACCAATGAAATGTTTGTATAGACAACAATGTGGCACACCCACTAACTCCCCCATAGGACACAGTGGACCCACCTGTATATGAACTGAGTAGAGGATTAGTTAACAAAAATGGATATCAACTGTGACTGTGTAATATTTCTGGAATGGGGACAGAAGGCTGGGTATTCAAAGGTTAACACTAATTTCCTGAAAATGCAGACTAAAAGCTTTGATTTCTTTTATCATTCCCCCAATATTGGTGGTTAGATGGAGTAATAAAATGACCTAGAGCCTGTCGTCAGTGGGAGGAGGAATAATGCCACACCGCTGGTGTCAGTGGAAGGAATAGTGCCTCATCTTTGGAATTAGTGGAAGGAATAGTGCCTCATTGTTGGTGTCAGTGGAAGGAATAGTGCCTCATTGTTGGTGTCAGTGGAAGGAATAGTGCCTCATTGTTGGTGTCAGTGGAAGGAATAGTGCCTCATTGTTGGTGTCAGTGGAAGGAATAGTGCCTCATTGTTGCTGTCAGTGGAAAGAATAGTGCCTCATTGTTGCTGTCAGTGGAAAGAATAGTGCCTCATTGTTGCTGTCAGTGGAAGGAATAGTGCCTCATCTTTGGAATTAGTGGAAGGAATAGTGCCCCCATTGTTTCTGTCAGTGGAAGGAATAGTGCCTCATCTTTGGAATTAGTGGAAGAAATAGTGCCTCATTGTTGGGGTCAGTGGAAGAAATAGTATCTCATTGTTGGTGTCAGTGGAAGGAATAGTGCCTCATCTTTGGAATTAGTGGAAGAAATAGTGCCTCATTGTTGGTGTCAGTGGAAGAAATAGTATCTCATTGTTGGTGTCAGTGGAAGGAATAGTGCCTCATCTTTGGAATTAGTGGAAGGAATAGAGCCTCGTCTTTAGAATTAGTGGAAGGAATAGTATCTCATCACCGATGTCAGTGGAAGGAATTGTGCATCATCATTGGTGTCAGTGGAAGGAATAGTGCCCCATCATTGGTGTCAGTTGGAGGTACAGTGCCTCCTGTCAGTGGGAGAAAAGAGATTGTACAATCGGATCTATTGTGCTATGGCCCAAACACATTAACCCTGAACTTAGACCCAACACTAGAGTCTCAGTTCTTTGGTGGAAAACAGCTGACAGACGTGAATCCAGTCATATGGAGCAGTCATCCTGACCCCCAAATGAGCACACCCACATATCTACCAAAAGTATTCTCATTAGGCAGGGGATTGGCAGTTAGCAAGGTTAACGATGAAGTTAGGGCCCTAGAAGTAAAAGTGAAACTTGAGAGAGGCACACAAGGGTAATAGTAGACCAAAAGCAGACATCATTCCTTTCATGTTATGTTCAAATACAACCTTGGGACACAAGGAAGGAACATATAAATCTACTTTGTTCCACTTTAAAACAGACACTAAAAGAAAGACGATGTTTTAGCAAGGTCATATTGAACTGAAGCTGATTGCCAATTGCAAGGTATTATAATGAAAATCTGGAGAAGCTGACAGCTTACCAGTGATAATATGGAACATCTGTTTCTCCTTCTCGAACGTTATGTCATTGGGAATGAACGCCACATCATCCTGCACTTCAATACATGGGTGTCTGGCAGATTTTAGCACGATGCGTCCCTGTCCCTTCTCCAGGATGATGGGACGAACATATGGTACTGGTGCTCCATTTGAAACTAAAGCAAAGCTGACAATGGCATCCAATTGAGCTATTACATCGCTCAGAGTCTGAATTGGATCCACGTATCCTATAGAAAGAAAGACAATTGTTTAATTTACATTGCAAGTTTTATAACAAAATGGAAAGGTTTGTCTAGAGCGAATCATGGAGGCTGCCATTTGTCAAATGTTAGTTCCTTGGGTGTCATGTTGACCACATGGTTCCTCTCACTCTAATATGATTTTCCTGACATTGAGACATTGATCTGGAACAAGTATGCAAGTATTGAAGCAAGAATGTCAGCATGACAGCCAGGCAACTAGCATGTTCAGGTCAGCAATGGAAGCCCTCAAATTTCCATTAGGAAAGGTTTACTATAGTATAAGATACTCTGCCAATTTGTCCTTTCAAGTGACAGGTATTTAACCACCTTTGACCTGCTGATACTCCCCTTTCCTGTGCTCCTCTACTGTAAGTAAGCCCCATGTTGGATCATGTCGGAGCTTACACAGAGTTAAATAGCAACATCTTCCTTCTCATAGGACAGTGTTCGAGTCTGGCAATTGACTACTCCAGTCCAAGCACTGTATCCTGGGAGGAGGTCACATGCTCCGCCTCACCCAGGACAACCAAAATTTACTGTGGGCTCTAATGGAGCAATGAAATGGATATATTAAAAGATGAGGGGTTCATCTTACACGAGAATACTTCCGTCTAAAAGCATCTAAGACACATGGGCAGTTTCCATGTACCTTGGCCTAATACTAATCTTAAAGAAAATAAGCTGCAAAAGAGGAAGTCGAGAAGAGCAGGCATGGTCAAGCAGGGTTCTTTTGCACCTAAACCGACAAATACATCACTTATGGGGCATTCATTTTTATGAAAATGCATAACAGAGGACAGAGGCATGAATTTCGGAATACAGGAACTAGCAAACCATAGCAAGGAAATGCAAGGAAACCAAAGCCTGTAAATGCAATTCAGGCTTGGGCAAGCTAGGCAGTCATGCAGGATGAGATAATCTAGGATGGTCAGGGGGTACACATAACAGCTGCTTTACCCTCATATGCTCCCCATCATGATAGCAAGGTTGTCTCGGTCCACAGGACACCACCATCACACTCAAGTTGTCACGAAAATATATTCCACAGAATGCAAACCAGCACCTCAACATAGATAATTGAATCTAAAGCCACTATGAGATCCACCTGCTGCACTCCATTATTGAAATTGCGACTTTGAAGTAGGACAGGCCAATTTAGCTACAACTTTCTATTGGTCCGGATGGAAGGATACACAGTTTACAATGGGTTAAAAGGAAGCTGGTGGAGAACTGTGTTCACAAGTCTGTTTACTGTTGGATCTGCTATTGATAGAAGTCAGTTTGACTTTGCATGAGGATCAGGTTGTATGGATGGTGCGTGTATACCAACCCATTTATAACCGCCATTGCAACTTGGATTTGCTCAGACCTGTACTTAATGGAGTTAAATGCTTTAAAACTACATTCATCTTTTAACTATTGTCAACATAATTCTTTCTGTTTGGTTAAATTTCAGTCGGACACAAACATACACCAGTATCATCAGAGACCTGTCTATCCACCTTTATTTCAAAGTAAACAGCAGCAGCTGAATCTACCAACCAACCATTTCTGAAGACAGATCATTCAGGCGATCCACTGATATTGTGGCCATTTGAGCATGTTCATGTAAAGGAGGTACCTATGACTGATAGGATAACAATCTGACCATTATAAATGCTCTACACACTGTCTGCTCGCCCACACATCAGAACATGCATAAAATGCATTAATGAATTAAACACTAGACTATTTATATTCATTATGTTTGCTCTCATGAAGGTCTAGTAGAGCGATACTCTTGGGAGACGGAGCCCCAGGTCTGCTCTGACATCCTAATACACAGCTGGAAGGAGATCATTAGTGAAAAAGAACCCACAACTCAATCATTCAGTGAGTCTCCAGCAGAGAAAACACAAACAGATATATGTCAATTTCCTACATGGATTGAGACAATCGGAGACACAAAGCTAGTGGTAATTTAACCCAATTTAACACCTGCTGACTTTTCTATCATTACTCATAGACAGGAAAAATTACCCACATGGCAATATTAAGATAATGCACTTCGTATTGGAGCGATGATTGAACTCTGCCTAAACACAACCCTCACCCATCTGCAGAGATGAACATACCACAATGTTGGCAGATGGAGAAAGCAGTTATCACCTCCGGCCCAACTCATTTCATTCATTACTGCAGCCCCTGCACAAGCTATCATTGGCATCCAAGTCTCAAAGTTCAGATGGTGTGCAGGGGGTAATGAAAATGATTTGCATTGTTATTATCAAGACAGTAAGGAGAGAGGGAAGCTTCTATGTAGCTTTAGTATGGTATGAATCATGGGATGAAGTCTATTATAAATCTTTACCAGTTCAATTATTATAGTAACATTAAAGTAAAAAGGTTTTCAAGCCATTTCAAATGCTGATGAAATTACTGCTTCTTGATGTTTAAAACAATTAGTTTTTGCAGAATCAGCTGGTCCCTTTGAGCACTGACCCTTATATCCTCTTTTAGGGTGGCTCCATTCCTTTGCAGGATCCTATGGAGACCCCCTTGTGTGTGCTAGTAAGCTGTTCCACAAACAGGCACAGCAAGACAAGCTAAAGCTTGCGCTCCGCTTCTCCCTCATCCCTTCCTCCCTCGAGCCTTCTCCAAGCTAGGAAATGGACAGCTGCTAGAGACTGTGCTCTGCCTCATCTTGTACTGGACAGGAAGTTAAGGGAAGCGGAGTAGAAAGAATCAGCTGTTCGCAAACATGTCTGTAAGTGTTTGGGCACACAGGTAAAGAAATACTTTGCACGGCAATGTATATTTGTTATACATAGCCACGCCCTCCGGCCGCAATGCGATTGGTCGCATGGGATCGCAAGGCACATTATGCCTGTGGTGCGATCAAAATGCTGCAATAATGTGCCTTGCAATCTTGTGCGGCCGATCGCATTGCGGCTGGAGGGCGTGGCTACGGTGCCATTCACTTCAATGGCTCGCCATGCCCCCTCCTGCGCCTCAAAAAAGTGAGCCGGCAGCAATGTGATGCAGTCCGTTCTGGCCAGAATCGGGCCAGAACGCACTGCATCTGGTGTGAAACTAGCCTTAGGGTTCCTGGTTTCTATGAAATACGTGGCCACCTTCAGTCAATACCCAAGGTCTGGCTCAGTATCACTCTGGGAAAATGAGAGAACTTATGCTAAAATAACTAAGGGGTACTTGCTGATCAAGAGGAGTGAGCCCTGATAGGAAAAAGGAGGAATCCTTGAAGGATAAGCTGCCTATGTTACCTATAATGGTGTAAGAAGAGGCAGCAAGCCCCTTACAGAAACTCTCAGGGATGACAGTCAGCTTAAAAGGAGAAACATGGCCAATAAAGATAAACATGAACAGCTCATGCTACTTTAAAAAAAAAAATGGAGACACTATCCCTGAGGTGCAATAGATAAGGACTGAGGAAAGGAAGTACAATGTGCTGGCTTTGAAAAAAGAAAAAAAAGAGCCCAAAAAAAAAAAAAAAAAAAAAAAACACCAACAGGATTGGGATGAGAGCACACATAGGTCACAGGATACTGTACTGATGGAACTATGCGAGGGGAAAAAAAACCTCCAAATCTAATAAATTCCAAATCTTAATTCAGATCTGACTGGAAGAAAGTCAGGATGTGTTCATTGGAGAACTCCCTGGAATGAATTTTCTCTGCATTACACCGTGGGTACTACTCCTATGACAATTGATGGTAGACGATTAACTTTAGGAATAACGGAAGCAGACAGGCCCCTGTCCTTTAGGACCCAGGTTGTGGTCACTTACCACTGCAGGCTTAGGCCTTGAATCAGCCATCAACATCCTGCCGGAAACCCAGGAACCGCTGTTGCACTGCACCTCCGCCGGCCACCTGCACTACCCCAAAAGGGGAGGAGGAGGAGGACAGGGCAATAATGCTTGGATCCTCAGGAGTCAACCCCCTTTAATAGGAAGGAGCCATGGTCCTGGAAGTGTTTCAGGGGTACCTCTGACAAAAGACAGCAAGGCTTCAGGCAAACATAACCCAGAGTTGCATCAGAAAGGGATCGTTGACCCAATGGCCATCCGTTCAGGAAAGAAAACAAATTCTGGGCAGTCCTGGACGGTAGTCAACACAATCTAAAACTGGGGGACAAAGGGGTGGTGGGGGGGTGGGTTTAAACTGTTCCAATTGTGATTCCTGTAGAGGGAGGAGCCAATCACTCAGTTTACTGTCCTGGAAGATGATTGAGGAATCGAAGGCAGATTAAAATTCAGCTTTAGGTTTATACACGCTTGAAGGATTGCTTGCTCTTTAGATCTACCTACAATATTTTTGATACATTGCATGCAGAGATCCCTAAAAACACTGTAGGAAAACAGTTAAATATGGTACAGTACACGTCTTAATACCAGAAAGGAGAGACAAGGAAGCATCAAAATACAAATGCTAAAAACACAGGCTGAGGGTTACAATAAGTTTAATGATAGAAAAAACACCGCTGCAAACATAAATTGTATCATTTACAATGGCAGTAATACTAGAAGACAATTCACAACACGAATTCACCACTTCCTGCCTTTAAAATACAAAGTCCCAAAACTGGCTGGCTTTAGTCCAAAAACCATCTTCATGTCTACATGAACGCTATTCTTGCATGCATAGCAGGCGGGACAACTTCCAACAGCCATGTAAATAAATTCCACCTAACTTAGAGCTTTTCTGAGCCTTCTCTATTTCCAACGGGTAAGAATATTTCTCGGCTCCTAGAACAGTCATATTGGCCTCTGAATTCTTTATTAAGTTTTGGTCCCAAGGCCTGCTTTCTGAACATAGCCTGTAACGTGTAAGTGACCATCACAGGTGCCCTGTACTCACCAGCAGAGATGTTGATGATTTCTTTCACAATGGCGTTCTGTGCTTCTTCATACTCCTCTCTGTATCTCATATACTCGTCATTATATGAGCTCAGCTTACTGCAAGAGACAGAGCAAACTCCATTATTACCACAGTCTCAGTGCTATATAGGTAAAACGATTGAAAGTTACCAAAACTGAAATAGATAAAGAAATAAAGTTTTAAAAAAAATAAAGATAGCATAGCTAGCATTTCCAGGTGTCTCAACATGAGTTTGTCATCCCTGTAGCAGGTCATTACACTTTGAAGCCAAGACAGAGATCGGTTTTGGATTGGCAGTATAATATACACATGCATACGCAGGAGCACAGACCCTTGTACCCCATAGGGAACAATTGAGTGCGCGTTTTGTTGTATAATACACACATGCATTTGTTAGAGTGCATGCATTTTAATCCATGGGGCAGGCAGTTGCACAGAGGGCCATTCACCTGACTGACATGCTCACAAAGGGGAGTGTCTACATAGGAGAGAATGCATGGTTAATCATTGATCACGACTTCTACTGCAAAATGTCAGAATTTCTGAATAATAACGACACACCACATGACAATAACGTGTAAGAGGATATGCACTCTGTAAAGCAGCAATTAGATTGGGAGAAGACAAAGCAGCACTCTGTGACAATTAGTTGCTCAGCATCCACATCTGCTGAGAGAGAACAGAAAGATGACATCAGTCCATTCCTGCTCCTTTGATGTGCAACCAGAGGCTGGAGGAAGGGAGAAGTCCTGGCAATGTTGATTGATTGCAGCAGAGAAAAGTCAGGTCACCAAGCAGGCTGTGTGGTCTATCAGGGATGTGTAAAACGTAGGACTGGATGGACAGAAATATATATCTTTTGGCAGTTAAGACAGCTCCCATATACAGTATGCATTTTAAATGCGTAATCAGACATTTTCCTTAAGTTCAGCTTTAAAGCAACTCGAGGCCTGAAGAATTATTGTCTGAACAATATCTTGGTGTGCTTTGAGTATTTCTTCCAGATGTGCGCAGTAACTCTGCATTGTCTCTGTGCAGGAGTTTCTTGTAATAAAAACTAGTCACTTCTGCTCTTTCTCCTTGTGCATGGTGACTGGTCTTGTATGAGCCCCTCCCTGTAAAACAGACCGGTCACTGCTGCTCTTTTTGTGAAGGGTGACTGGTCTTGTATGGACCCCTCCTGTAAAACAGACTGGTCCCTGCTGCTCTTGCTCTTCTTGTACGGGGTGACTGGTCTGGCATCAGCCCCCTCCTGTAATTCAGACCAGTCACTCTGCTCACTTTCCTTGTGCAGGGTGACTGATCTTGTAGCCGCCCCCCTGTAATGTTCTGTAGGCAGCCTGTTGTGGAACTACAAATTCCACAAGGCATTGCAAGATTCTCACAGCTACGACTTCGAGGCAGATGCATGATGGAATTTGTAGTTCCCCCAGTTGGAGGGCCGGAGTCTGCCCACCCCTGCTGTGGTGGATGGACTTGTTGGATCCCTCCCACAGCACTGTTCTCCGATGATGTCACTGCTACATGTTCATGGTAATCCCCTGTCTTTACAAAGGCCTTTGGTGCCCACAAAGTTGAATTTATATCCTTTGTGGCTACTGATTAATATACTTAAAGGATCGTTTTTGTGCCTGGAGTTCAACTTTAAATCACATACAACAACAAAACCAAGAGGGATGTCTTTCTCACAAGCACGGGGAGCCTGTGATCTGTTCTGTGTGACAAAAAGAATCCCGCCGACCTGAACAGCAGCTGGGACAACTGCATTTAGTCAGATTTTCCTCCGGGAAGCAGGCATTTGTTTCATTTTAATAATTCACAGAGTGCTGTCATCACTCCATTCTATTGTGTAGTTGCTAGAACACCATCTCGTTATGTTCCATGGACATATTGTGTAAATAACGATCAAGATAACACTAGAAGGTTTCGACTGCACACGGAGCACCTGGCAGCTGAACAAAGCGGCTTCGCTCTGAGCAGGTGGCCAAGTGTCTCCTGGGAATAATAACACTAGCCGGAGTTCACGCTCATTTGGATTGAAATAACCTCCTGAAAGATACACTAATCAGCCGTTTCCACATTGTATAACTCTCGCCGCTGCTTTAATCGTCAGCAGACTTAGATATTTAGTCTTATCAGTAAATCATCATGTGCTCTGTCTCTAATGCCAATATGACCACAATAGTGTGGCTCCATGCTAAACTTGCAGTCAGTGGGGAGGAACTGCCAGCTGTCTATACAAATGAACACCTTTCACAAAGAAATCTTTCTGAAATAAGTAATTTGCTGCAGAAAGCCGACATTATTCTGTTAGCAGTCTGATAAATATTGGCTATGTTTATGCTGCTAATGAGAAATGTCAGAGCTTTAGCTAGACAAGGAAGTCAAGTCTGCTAAGGACTCTTTCACAGTGCATAGGTACATTTCAATGAGCCTACATAAAGTGGATATCAGATACAGGAAACTCCCAGTTATCCGGCACCCACGGGGGTCGGTAGGCGCTGCATAACTGTAGTTTCTGGTTGCTTGAGAGCTAATAGTAACTACTTTTGCAGCCAACTAGCTGGGAGCAATACCCCGACTGCTATTGGCTATTTCAAATTGCAATAGCCAATAGCAGGCTGGCTAATGAAACCCCGCCCACTGAGCAGAAGAACGGGCCAGAGAGATAAAAGGTCCGCTCCTCTGCTCAGTGGGTGGGTACAATAGCCAACCTGCTATTGAAATTTGAAATAGCAGGCTGGCTATTGGCTATATGTAGGGGTTTGCAGGAGGAAGTACAGTGCCCAGCAATTAATACACTACAAGACACATCTGGGGCCCCTGCATTACTTCAAATGGTAAGTATTCTTCTTTTACAGAAGGTTGCTGCTGTAAATTCTCCTACCAATCGATGGGCCATATTTAGGTAGTCTGAAGAACAACCCATTAATTTAATTGCAGACATCCTCTGACAGCATTTACTCATAGGTAAAGCTAGCAGTGGATGAGCGCTTAGGCAACTATAAAATGCTGACACGACAGGTTCATGCTACGCGCCAATACCTGTTGGTGAATCTCACTCCATTCTTTTGAATGTCAATGGTGGAGAACTTCTTATTGTTCCTCAGAGACTTTTCTTCCTTGCAGGTCACTCGGAAATAGTGACCAAGCTGAGCATTGGATTCCAGTTTCATACTTTTACCGGCATCCAATCCTAGTAAAAAAATTAAACATTAATGGAAAACTCCAGAAGTGTATAAGTAAAGCTTAGGCAAAATGAATACATATAAAGTGCTTTACCAAAAAAGAAACTTTTTCTTTAAAGTACAACTCAGATGCCATAGATAAAGGCAAGAAATAGAGTTTCTCCATGCTGCTTTGCCACCTCTACCTTGGATATGTCCTAAATCAGGTGCATACAGTCGTTGCACCTGTCATTGGATTTGTACAAGCCGGCTGCTTGACTGTAGCTATATGCTGCACCTGTAACACCCAGGCAGAGAAACATGCCCGAATGTAGGCTGTACAGCCCTATTGCGGTGCTACCCATTGTCTTCAAGAAAATGCCATTTAGAATATACACAAGCCTAGGGCTGCAACCACCAAAACAATTAATGAATGAGAATAGCTGTCAACTATTTTCATTATCGATTAGTTGGTTGGATCCCTTCGCTCTCTCCTCCACACTGGGAGGAGGGCACAGCAAGCAGTGGGCGGGTGCGATAGCCAGCCTGCTATTGCAATCTGAAATGGCCAATAGCAGGCTAGCTATTACACCAGCCCACTACCTGCTGTATTTACATTCAGCTGCTGTCTGCGCAATCTTGCCACTGGCAGCTGTTATTCACTGGCTGAAGCTATTCAAGCGCCATGTGCTTACAATACTATTAAAAAAAAAAAGTGGGAAAAAAGTCATTTTTGGTTTCAGCCTGACATTCTGCTGGGGGAGGTGTGTTGCAGTGCCATTAATTTCAAAGGTACCCCAAACACGCCTCCCAACCACAGTGGAACACACAGTACTGCAATGATGTCCGTTCTAGTGCAGTGCGATTGCAAAAAATTGTGCATGCAGTTTTATTCAGAAGTTATTTTAAATTAAGGATTGTATTTTTAAAAAATGTATCCGATTAAATCGAAGAAAAAAACAAAACAAAAATCGGCAAACGAATCAATTATGAAAATAATCATTAATTGCAGCCCTACACAAGCCCATACACACTTTTGCCATGCTCCCTATGCTAACCGACACTAACTAACTTGCCTTCCCACCAATCAGCATCAGTCACAGGAAGCAGACCTGATGTGGAATCGATACAGAAACTCAAGTGACTTTATCCTGTGACAGCGTGCATTTAGATCCACCAGAAAAATGGCTTAAAGGGTCTCCAAAAGATCAAGTCAGTAAGCTGTCAAGAGTATCCCAAAAAACTGCAAATAAGCTAAAAGCAGAATGTGAACTCCTAGTCCAAGATTATTACTGCAGATGTGTCACCATAGCTTGTAACTGCAGCTTTTGGGCGGCAGCTGTCAGGGGGGGGGGCAGGGAAGCCAGCACAAGGACCCTGACTGGGGCTATCTTAGGGCAGACAAGGTGGAAAGGAAGTAGGTGAAGTTGGAACAGAAAGAGATCACATATCCAAAAATGTGGGACACTTGTTCCAGTGTACCCCTATCTTTGGAGAGATTTTTTTAATTATTATTACCTCGTGTTACCTTGTACCTCTCTGCTACAAAACAAACAAAAAACCTTGGAGATTTAGAGATGCACATTAACTGATAGCATAGCTTGACTTTAAAAGTTCTTTTTGGAGCCCTCATCTTTTATAGATTAGACTAGAATTATTTTCTTTACATAAAAAAAAGCTGACCTGCATGACACTTAAACCCGTCACCTCTAATTATGTCTATATAGGATGCATTACTGTGTGACTCAGACACTTTTGCCATTTTACATATACAGTCTAACCATTGATACCACCCCAATATAAACAAAACATCATCTGACGGCACTAATGCCACATACAGCAGGTCTCACGGGAACAGCAGATGACGGTACAAGCTATAGTTACAGCAAGGTGCATTGGAAGTGACTGTGCACTCTGACAGCCCAATGCTACTTATGGGAAATGATACAGAAAAAATCAATTACTTTATTGACAATAAAATGTAACCCCTGATAAGGGGTTCCTTGCTTATTCCTTGCTCCTTGCCTAATAAGCCAACGTAGATCTATGTCATAATGTGCTTTGTGTTCCAGCACAATGGTGTCCATCTAGTTTGGCTCTATTTCACAGTCTGCAGTACATGCAAATTCATGAATATTAAGTGCAGAAATACAGACACGCGTTTATAGGACTCCAACCAGTTCACAGGCAATGAACAGTTGCCATGTCCAGGTTGCCATGTCCAGGTTGTCATGGGGCCAGAAGGCAATAAAAATGTGTACCTAAACCCAAGAACAAAAACATGAGTTGATTACCTGATAACTCTGTTTCCAGGAATCTTCCAGGACAAATCATACAGAAGCTTACCAGTCAGATGTGGTGATGGCATTTCTTTTCATTTATTCAGGCTTCTTTCCCCCTTTACTTTCACCTGCTGATACTGACCCCATAGTATCTATTTACTGTGTCCCCAATTACGAATAAATGGGAAGTGCTCTACATCACTTCCTGATCATTCATTTTTGAGGATATAGTAAACATACTATCGCCACAAGTTATGAATGGACAGGAACACTCAGTATAGAGCTTTCCCTGTTCATTCATAACAGGGGATGCAGAAAAAGAGATTGAGAACTGAGTCCTCAATCTGTTTTTTTATTTTAAGAGGGAAAATATCAGTGGTCTGTTTAGACCCCTGAAATTTCCCCAGAGCCCCCAATAGTAAAGTTAAAAAATAAAAAATAAATTTTTATTTTTTTCTAAACTTTAATATTTTAAAAAAATTAAAAAGATTAGAAAAAAATAATTTTCGATTTTATTTAATTTTTGTTTTCAAAATTTAATTTCGGTGCACCTTACTTTTGAGGTCAATGGAGCTGGCTCCTAAAAAAAAAAAAGTCCTGCTGGATCCTGGATTCCATATTAATTTGTCCATCCCTGTCTTAAAGCCTCACTCTGTTCACCAATGTCAAGGGGGAGAGGGTTCGAGAGAGAGAAAGAAAGAGGGTGTGCGAGAGAGAAAGAGAGAGGGCGCGCTATAGGAAGAGTGAGCGAGTGAAGGACACAAAGCACATTACAGCTTTTTTTTTTTTTATTCATTTAAAGGAACGCTGAAAAATAAAGATTGGAGGTACATACAGGAAGCACAAGTCACCTGAGTAGTTCAATTTTTAGACCAGACATTGCTGTAGTGCACCATCCATCCCACTAGACCTGGTGAAGTGAAACGTGCATGTGGGTTATGCTGGAGCACCCACTCCTACTGATCCTGTGCATTTATACTGCAGGGGATCACACAGCAATTACATCACAGTAATCTCAGTGAATCATCTCACTCCAGCAAAGTTCATGCATTTACTATGCAACTTTAGAAGCTTACTGATTGCTTTCACTTGTTGCCTGGAATTGCTCTGAAAAAGAGGACCTGTGAGGACAGGGTCACACCATTTTCCAGACCAGATCTGGAACGCGCTGCATTGCGGTTTGCTGCGATTTTGACACGTTCCGGAGCAGTGTTTTCTTTAGCTTAAAATGGTATTTAGGTGAAGACCAGTGCATTCCTATGCGTTTTAGATGAGTATCATGCGTTGTCTGGTTCGGAAGGGACTGCACTGGTGTGAACAGAGCCCAGAAATACCATAGGGATACATTGGGATGCTTTTTTGGTCTGGGAACAATGTTCTGGTCTGGACATGATCCGGATATGGTGTGAACAAGCCCTGAGGGTAGAAATATGAAGTGTTGTCACAGCTGACATGTTATTAAAGGGTGGAGATTACAAGGCTCTTATCCTAATCCTGGCAGCCCTACCTAGCTTGTCACTGACCTGGAGCCTTCTGAGCGGAATAACTCCAGTCATGAAGGGTTAAGACATTACCCGACACAAGCAATGAGTATTTATAGCAAAACTATTCCAAGTCTTTGCTGACAAAGCAAAGTGACTGGCACATGCCTTATACAAGGAGTATTAATCTTTGTTCGTGACTTGAAATCCATAATTATATTGAATAGACGCACAAGCCAGAATAGCTTTAGCGCAGCTGGCAATGAAAGACCCCGATAAATCTACAAGTGATGTTGCAGTGTAGGGGTTGATTTTTAATTTAGCAGTAAATATGATTTACTGACAGCTCTGGAGCAATAGGATGTCTAATCCGGACTCACACATTCATTCAGCGAAAGTGTGATGTCCAATTTCTGGAGTTCTTACAAAATTGGTAAGAATTTCACAAGGCACATTAGTTCATCTGTAGAACCATATAAGAGTTGGGGGATCACTGCAATATCAACAAATGATTTCCAACTACACTGACATATGAATTGTTCTTTAAAGTACAAGTCCAGACAATTTTTTTTTTTTTTGAGTTTTGGATAGTGGGGAGGGGTTAGTACCTCTGATATGTCCTGTGAGGTTTAACCTCACTTGCTGTCCTGATGACAATCTTTTATCTCACAGAATAAGGGGGGAAGCCTACAGCACAGATAGAAATAAAAATGCTTTTCTTTAGTGGAGTCAGGGAAGGCTAGAAGAACCCGTCAAACTTTTATTTTCCCATTCTGTACCAGAGACAATGGCTACCAGAACCAACACAGTGAAGCTCTCCAGAAGGGACACAAACAGCAGAGGCTCTAACATTTCTACATTCTATTCATAACCAAAGAAAAAAAAATGTTGCCTTTACATACACTTTAAGAGCAATGTCAAAGGCTTAAATTGTTATCTACAGAACAGAAACAGGCAAGAACCTGCAACTAGGTTTCTTAAAAATCTTGCAATGGATATGGCTGACCTTGACGGGGCTGGAAGAAAAAATGTTCACGTTAGTCATGGGCAACATAGCGATCTCTAGTGTTGAGTGCTTAGCAGATGTGAATCTGCAAGAACTATGTACTTTACACAAATGCTACAAGGCCTGGTTCACGCAGAGCGTTTTGTAGCGCTTTTTCTGCACTAAAAAAAAAAAAAAAAAATCTAATTTCTATGGCCCTGTTCACATCCGAGCATTTTGTCGCAATAAGCAAAGCGCCCGTCACTAGAAAATGTACAGGAGCTTTTTATTTTGGCACAGCTCGTTTTGTCCCCATAGACTCTATAGGAAACACTTAAAATGCTCATTTACATCCATGAGCTACAACCTGCTCATAAAAACGCGCTTTTTGCAGTATGCGCATAAAACTGCATTAAAAAACCGTGCAAAAACGATGTTGCCTAGGTGTGAACCAGGCCTTACACAGTCAATCTAAACACCAGATGCCTCATACACTGAGATGACACTTACCCAACTCCCTGGCCGCACTGCTAAGCGCAGCTTGCATGCTCTTCTCCAGTTCATCCATCTTCTCTCTGAGTTCGGTCAAGTTTGGATCAAAAGACGGCTTTACCAAAAATTCATGGTTTTCCACCTGAGACAGAAGAATTCATCGGTTCATAAACTTAGGAGGAATATTTCTACGTGAAAACAGACCTGACCATTATGACACTTATTTACATGAGGAAGACCAATTCGCCCTAAAATCATAAAGAATGTCCCCCAGCTAATTCAATGATTAATAATACAACCACTGTGCTTGTCTCCGAGATTCAACTGATGCAGCTTTAATCCTGCTACACGCATGATCCGTAGAAGACACACAAAGACATAAAGCACTGAACATGTACACTTCTTACAGAATAGGGTTGTCTTTTTTTTTAAATTATAGTAGTCACGATATGAGGTCACTTTAGATACAGACCATGCTTACATGTACAGAAATTTGAGATTTCCGTCCTCTGTATGAACCAGGAAAAAAAATATCTCCTAAGAAGAAATGAAAGTATTCATACCTATACCAAAACCTTTATTCAACACATGCAGTGGAGCAGGAGCATGCAGATACAATTTGAGTTGGCATTTTTACTGAAGTCTGATGACAAGAAATGTATCAAAGGCCCATTTCCACCTCCAATATGAAAACATGAATTCCTTTGTGGGGCCTGTTCCTTTACAGACAACACATTCTTCTCAAGGTTCTTCCTTCTCGTACAGTTGATTGAGCCAAAATGCATCATTGCTTGTGGCACAACTAGCAGGACATAAGCCTGGTAACTAAAAGTTGCACATACACAGATAAAGCCAGCACTAATATGTGAAACATTCCTGGGCATAGTGGTAGACCATATTTACCCTAAATTATTGTCACTTTTAAAACTAAAACTGATGGATTCAAAATTAATATCTATCAGACTTGAAAAGGAAAGTTTCAACACAGTTCTTTGCACCACAATTCCCAAATGACATCATCACTCTCCAGCAGCTGGACTGCCAACATCTTCCTATGCTGCTGACATCCTATCCAAGGGAAATTATGTCATCTTTTGGGTTTGTAACACTTAATGCAGTCTGGCAGAAGTGTGAATTCTGGTACAAACGTCTAACCACCGAAGTAACAGAAAGGTATAAGAATCCCAAGTAAAGCCTTACTAATAGAGTTTGGTTTTCTGAAAGCACTGGGTGTCATATATTGCCATTTATTAAAAAAAGAAAAAAAAGAAGGAAGGAGGAAGGCGTAAGAAGGAAGGAGAGAAGGAGGGAGAGGGAATAAAAAGGAAGAGGAAGAAGCAAGAAAAAAGGAAAAAGAAGAAAGAAGGAAGAAGAAGACAGAAAGAAAATACTGGCTTTCACTTTTTTTTTTTAATCCTTTGATGTATCTACAGTAAGTGCTTCTGATCTCATGCAGCCACTTCCTGTTTACATGAACTCCACTGTTGGCAACATGGCATTTCTCAAGGTGGATTTCCTAATGGCAGACACAGTGGACCATGTTTGTGCAATGCGTGTGGAAATGGCCTCTTGCAGTCTCCACCGGAAGCCCCTATCACAGCCTGACAATGTAGGAGCATAAATCGGGAGAAAGGGACAGAGCGTTACTGCCCCGTAACAGGAAGTGACTGAACAAGAACCTTCATGGCAGGATCACCAGATATTTTAATGGAAGCTGCAGATTTGACAACATTTTTCATTAATTCTGAAATTACATTAACATGTTAAATAATCTATGACATTTTAGTTATTGGGTTTACATACACTTTAACTTGACAGCAATTAAAAAAGAAAAATTACCCATAGAGCATTTTCATATTTCTACAATTCTTGGAATGGATACACGGGATATCTCCTTACTTTTCCCTTGCTATTTGTTGTTGCATCCTCTTAAAAGAAAAAAAACCCTTATAAGCCAGGAGCTCAACTGTGGAATGGCTGGTAATTTACTACAAAGCCCAGTGGCACCATTCGCAAGCAACTACTCTATCATTGTGCGGTCTCTTTATAAATGATTGATTGGGAAATGGTACCATACAGTGTACTCTACACGAGCCGGGGCTGCAGCTCACTCGGATAGTTAAAATGTAGCTGCGATTTTGTGGATAGAGCAGAATGACATGAAAAATTCATTGACCTATGGGGAAAGTGCTTCCAAATGAAAAGCAATAAAAATTCTGAGTCGCACATTACAAATAACACACACTTTTACACTGCGAGGTTCAAAAAAGAAAAACATGAACCACATTTCTAAAAATACACTAATGGTCCTAAAATATATTCTACAAAAGAACAAAACTTTTTTTTTTTTAAAGGCTGGTCACACATCATGAAAGGGAATAATGTGGGTTTATTCAAGACTTTAAAGGATACAACCTACAGTATGCCAGGGTGTTTTATTCTGGCATCAGCTTCCTTCCATACAATGAAGCACGAGAGGGAGGTTGCGCAACATATGATGTACAAACTGGAGCAACCCAATCCAGAAGGCACGTTAAAAGGTTTGTCTATACTGGCAACGTTGGATTTGATAAAACTGAATGGCAAGTCTCCAAACACCCAGCGGATATATGTATATTTAACCCACATGTATGAAGCTGTGTGAAATTTGACTTCAGTGCACTGGATCAAGCTCTTATTAAAACTAAACCCGATCTATAATCTCATAAAATGTAAAATTACAAAATTTTCAATTATTTTTCACAACACGTTTGGCTTTAAGGCTGGGTTCACACCTTTTGCGGATTTGCGGTAAAAGAAACGCACGGCAAACGCGCATTTCCGAGGGCTACGCCCCAAAGAAGCTCCTGTACTTCTTTGGGCGTAGGGTGTTTTGCAGCGCGTTCCTACGCGCTGTAAAACGCCCAGGTGGGAACCATGCCCATAGGCAATCATTGGTTTTCACACGTTGAGCGTTTTACGTAGGCGTAGGAGCGTTGAGCGTAGGAACGTGCTGTAAATCGCCCAGGTGTGAACCAGGCCTAATTCTTAGCAATAAAGACCATCTCTAGCAGGAAATTATCCACCTGATTGGCCTTTAAAGGCCTGGAAAGCGGAGGATCTGAGCTGGAGAGGTCATTAGAGGACAGCCATGTGATTAACCATAGCTGGCCTGTCTCTTTTTGCACTTGGTTAACAGCTTCCATTGTAACTTCAGTGTCCCAGTACCTGTAGAAACAGTCCTTTTGCTTACATTTACAAGTTCTAGCAGTCTGCTCTTGGCTGTCTTCCAAGCTTCATCACAGGTGCGGTGTCTCCCCATCTCCTTTCCCTCAGCTTGGCTCCCACTCTGACGACTGCTATGTCAGAGCCGAAGAGATCACTCCGCCGCTGCACTGTGAATAGGTGAAGTGATCTTATTCTGACAGGAGGCAGAGGCAGCTGCTGCCCCATTGCCGACAGGCCATGGACCGGTACCAGTCTGCGGCCTGGGGGTTGGGAACCCCTTGTCTAGGGAGCTCAAATAAAGCAGATTTAATTAGATGATCCTCGGTCCAGCCAGCTACCCCTAGGCTGCTGTACTGGTCCTCCGAGCCTATTCTCCCCTGGGCCCTGGTGGTCTAAGGACCACCTATGTCATCCCGTCTTTTGCAGGTCCATTGACAAGTATTAGACATGAGGATGGCGAGGGACAAATTTCCTGGAGTTCTACTTTAAGGCAAACTAATTGGAATGCCTGCCAAGGATTGCTGGATAGTATTGACGGTTTACTAATTGCTTACAGCAACTGTTCCATAAGTAATGTTTAGCACATTGACAACAGAAAGGAGCTCTATACTTTGGCAAACCAACATCTGGCCATTAGCGGAGTAATGTTAAGCTGTCAGAGGACAGCATGCATCATATTCTGAACTGCGTTTTGTTAAAACAAAATGTCAAAAAAGGAAGTTGCACACAATTGCCTTAGAGAAAGTGAATCTTTAACTTCCTTTCCATCCCTAAGATGCAGATCATGCATATTTGCAGAATATTATATGTCTAAAAATGACCTATCTTGATAGCTCAGTGCACAAAAATCTCATTAAAAAGGGATGTCGTCTGCACACACACACACACACACACACACACACACACACTAGTGACGCAAAGTAATCAGCCTGATGCTGCCGAACAAGCCCAGCTTTGGCTCATGTTCCCCATATTCCTAGGATAAAAGCAGGGAGCGGCAATGTGGGTAAGAAATATGGTCTATTCTTCAGGTCAATGAACGTTTAACAAACAAGACGGCCAATACGGATTTTAGGAAGCAGCTTGTTAACGCAGGTGAAACAAAAATGTTTATAGCCAATCACCATTCTCTGTGGTTGTTGTAAAGATTAAAGTGGGACTGCTGCCAAAACAGGAGAGCTGGGCTGGCCATACATTATGCATTAAACACTGGGGGGAGAGAACACTTGATTCTCACATGTACACTAAACCGCACGTACTGGTCTATTGCATCCCGACAGAAGTTGGTGTGCTACCGTCAGAATAGCCAAACAGCGACTGCAACAAATTGTCTGTAGTCACAGTTCAGTTAAACATTTTCAGACCGGCTCCTTCTACAAAAACCAATTGATCAATCGACTGTTGTTGAACAGATGGGGTGCCAACAGAGTCACACAATGCTCCAATTTTGGCCAAGTCTGCCGAACTCTGCGAAAATTCCAGCAGTGTATAAGCAACTTTAGATGTACAAACCTAACCTCAGTTAGCTTAAAGGGTGTGTCCAGCAAAAACTTTTCATTCTAATACACTGGTAGATTTTCTAACAAACTTTTGTATAAAAGATCTCACCAAAAAATTAAATAATGCCATCGCAGACTTGTAGAATGGCTTGAAAGGTCTAAGGTCCCATATATCATCATGTCCTATACACAGTATATAGAACGTGAGGACAACGAATGAATTAATTGCTGCACCAGAGGAGGAGACAGGCTGGAGGGAATGCTGCAACAGCCGGCCGGCTCCAAGGATTCGTGATTATTTTCCTCCATAGACCAAAACAAGCACTTAACCCTTGCATTAAGTTTCCTTTATACTGGCTTTCAAAATAGTAACCAAAAATTAAGAAAGGTTTTAGTGCAGAATATGACTTACGGTAATTAAAAAGAATGTTTTCAT